CTACTCTTACCTGTAGGGTACAACTTAAGATTATCCGAAGATAGGAAGACCAAGATGATGTGGCCTTTTGTGTGGTCGCAGTCTCCTTTCGTTGTATAAAAGTTGTTAAGATTATCCGACTGAGTGCCATCTTATTCACTTCTCACTGAAATCGTCAAATGGCACTGCTGAATTTTCTATTGTGTCATTCTCTCATTCAGGTCTAAACTACTTACTATGAACCCTTTTTTACGTTTGAATACCAGTCGTTTATAATTTTTCATCTTGTAAATAACTGTCTCGGGTGATTCATACCTTGAAGTAAATTGACATCTATTTAAATTACTTACTAGAGCTCCCCTTCTCTCGTCATACTATCTCTGGGGCTGTACACACTATTTCATTCCTTGTTCGTACTTGCAAATATGCACGCGCATACGCATAAATCCGACTTTCCGTCATCTATTATAGATTTTTATCTTGGTCACAAAATATATTGATGTTGAAATACGTTTCATTTAGCTTGAAGAGGCGAGTGGAAGGGATTCGTAAATTGGTTCCACCGGAGGCTGTGGGGTGCGGGGAACGGCTGCCTTTGAGCTGTGACCGTAGATTTGTGCGAATAGATCCCCGGCACACAGCTAAAACCAGTTTTTCTACTTACAAAGTATATTAACAGTATAACCCTGAAATTAGGAGGATGCAAGTGGGTTTACATCAGGATGCGATCTCCCCTCACAACCTCCTCGCGGAGCTTCAACGCAAAATTTGTGCATTACTCTTCCTCATAGCATATCAGCGTGATATCCATGCCCTCCGTATCGGCCTTATGACAACTTCAGTTGGACGCATTGACAAGAAGTACCGTGCTTTTCCAGAGTATGAATGAGCAAAATCCAACCACCTCCTTAAGTTCACATCTACAAGACTTGATCCACTTATGCAGCATCAATAAAACTTATTTTTCCTGGACCTACATCAATGCATTCTACCTTGGATGAATAATGAAATTCGATGCAAAAATTAAGCCTTCCCTCCAATTCATTATTTACTAATTTTCTGTAATTACAGATGAGAAACCAGCCTTAACTGTTATACCTCGACAACAATCGGACTCTTGATAGCCTTGAAACGGAAGACTTTTGCTTACTTTGGGTTACTGGTTCCAGATATTGTAAGCTCTGATCCTGTTACTAGTACTTTTTCTTTTTATGCTTTCTAGCACCACTGACAAGCGAGTCATGATATTCCAACGTACGGGGGATCTAGAGCGACTTTCTGCAATGTGCTTGCGCCGGATTCGAGCCCATCTTATTTCAAATCTTATACATCGCCACTCCATAACTCAACTTGTTGAATCGAATTCTAGTAATTTTGACGGTTCAGGATTTTCGTCGAGAACTATCTCAATTCCACATTACGTGAATGGCCCTTTCGGACCATCTCAAAATGGCTGCCAAGTGTCAGCAAACCTGTTGGCGACAAGTTTGGGTGGTTCGATGGCTATGCCAGCGCCATCATACCAGCTGGCTATCCAGGCTAGAAAGCTACCATTGCCCCGTAATTTTGTCATCCAACTTACCTCTAACCTGTTATACGAGCCTGAGCCTGCTGTAAACAAGCTTGTAGAGTAAGCACATTATGAAGGCTGGTCAATTTTTCGATTGCATACGTGCCTTGCTATTTGGACGTTGATTTTGCGCTATTCATGCTATGATTTTAAAGCACTTTCTATGTACCATTTCTTTCACTATCTCTACTTTTTTGTTTTACTATAGGCCTAAATTTGTTTGGGATATTTTAGATATTATCCTTTTGATGCTGAACACCTGTGTAAGCATCACATATATACATTTACTTGGACTTGTACATCATTGAACTGGACACAACTGCACTATTCTTAATGTTTATAAAGCTACCTATATTTTTCATATTTAATTTGCTTCGATGCAATTTGTTTTATTGTAAGGAAATTTTTTGTATCTTTTGAATAAGGCTCTAGTGGCCGTTCAAGCATCCGATTTTTATTATCTGTTCCATTATCTAAGTACTTTCTCTTTAACTCGGTTACCTTTTGCTTTAAGACATTTATTATAACTACGCATAACCCCCATACATTACATTCTTATATACTCTACATCATTCTGGGTCACTTTACAATTTCAACTTGAAATTGCTTCGGTTTTTGCCATTGATAAAAATTGTATTATCGCCTCCATTTTTAAAAATCCTGCTAAGTATATTCTTCATACAGAGAATATATACCTCTGTTGCACTATTTTCCTAAGTTTATTTCTATCTTATAAACATATGAAAATTTTTCCGTACTTCTTATATATGGGCTTGCTCTGAAACCTTACTTAATCTTTTTCATTTTGTTATATCCTTTAAATATTCTTTCTTTTGATTGAATAGTAGATTCTTAAGAGCATTGATTAGTCATTTTCCAGCATACTCGACCCGAAACCATTACTTCTTGGAAATCACTTAATCTGTGGCCACTGCCTGTAGACTGAATCCGAAGCGAATAAGATACTAAACTCATTGCAGATGGGCATATGGCCCCTGATGTTTCCAATTTAGCAATTCCTTTATCCTGTTTTGCATTCTGGCTGAAAATATTTTTCCGGTTAAAATGAGCTAGGCGACTTCCTTACATGCATCTGCTTTGAAATGACCCTCAAAATAGTGGGTCTCTGTAAATTTAGCATTTTCAACTATTAACGACTGCTCTCTTTCAAGTTGTGTCTATTGGATCACAGATCTTGAATCATAATTTTGAATTGTGCTCTGTACTCTTATTCACCTTTATCTTATCATAACCTAAACATGAGCATTGCTTAAATCATTTTACTATTCTCAACTGGGTATCCCGCAAGAAGATCAAAATAAATCTCAAAGTTTTCTGTGATTCTAATTAATTAGATGCTCGTGGTCTGGGAATTTTCAACTAATTTGAGTGCATCCAGACATTGCGTTCGTGTAGTTGCATTAGTCCTGTCCTTAATCCTAAGGTGGCATATTTTCATCAGATGGATAATTTATAAAGCCATAACACACTATCCTTTCTTGCTCCTTGGTTAAATATTCTTGGCGATTTTCTTCCAATATTCATAGTCCTGAATTATTTCTCCAATCTCTTTTTTTAACTATCTCGCATACTCGTCGCTCTATCTAGATCAATCAATTACTTTACTCTGATAGTCTGTCATCTGTCGTCGCTTTACTATCTTACTCCTAAATTTATGCTGATTTTTTACATTTATTTACCCTGTAACCTTTAGCCATACATTTCCGATATAAGTAGCTTTCAAACCATCAGTAATTCTTTAATAAGAACTTGCTAATTCTAGGCAGTTTAAGATGATTTTAGGACTGGTTGTTGAGTTTTTCTACAGAGATATGGCCAGGCATCACGATGCCATTAAATTTAACTTAGCCTAGTCTTATGTAATCTCATCCAGGGTTAATTGCAATTTCGCCTTTGTCTAGGCCTCATCAGCATCCCCATTTAATTACCCCACCGGGTCGTGAGTATCGTGGAGATGTTACCACTCCAATACATATTCGCAGGTACCGGTGGTTAATGGCACAGATACGCCATTCTGAGTAAGTCAGGCCTTATCATAATCACATCTTCTGC